ACTCCAAGACTTCAACCCGAAGGAAAATACCTTTCCTTCGTACAACCAAGGGAAACAAGCTTCCCTAAACGTGTTTACAACACTAAGAACACTCAAGAACAAGACTCTCTTTAAGAGTAGATGTTGAGTAAACTATATACGCTCAAGAACAACTCAAACTTCACAAATTGGCTCTAGAAAGCTATGGAAAATAATGTTGTTTGGATGCAATGATAATATGAATAAAGTGAAGTGAATTGATGAGAAAAGCAGACCCAAACACCCCTTTTTATAGTGCCAAAATAGGCTCCAACGGACCAATACATTAAAGGGGTGATTGGCTTGATTTATGGGATTGAATAAATTTGGGATCTGCAGGATATTGGCTTCCCATCGATGTTTGGAACTTACCCATCGCTGGTAAGCCAATTTTCCTTCAGTTTTGAAGCCAACGGTTACCTACCCATCGATGGGTAGATGCTTCCCATCGCTGGGTGGGAGGTTGACTTTCAAATAAGGAAAGAATCAGCCTTAAATGACTCGCAACGGTCATGCCTAACCATCAATGGTTAAGCCTTCCCATCGCTGGGTTCCCATCGATGGGTAAAGCTTCCCATCGCTGGGTAAGGGCATTCTGCCTTGTGGTAATGTTGCACCAAGGCTTTAACAGCGATGGGTAGAACTTCCCATCGCTGTTTAGCATGGTTCTGGAAATCAGTTTCGTTGAGGGGCTGCTTACCCATCGATGGGAAGATATTCCCATCGCTGGGTGGCATGATTCTGGAATCCCGGGATCACTTACCCATGCATGGGGCCCATTGAAAATAATTTTAGCCTAAAGAGCCAAGGTGTAAAGGTGCACACGGCCTCCAAAATGATGGGGCCCATTGTAATTCAATTAAAATCCCATTAGTTTATCTCAAGTCAATTAAGTACGCTGTAACACTCATGTTTAAGACTCTTCCTTCTACCTTCTTTGTTCTTCAACTAGGCTCTTCGGTTCGTTCTCCATCTTGTGTCAATTGTGTTTGATTTTTCATTTATAGGCTGCATATTTAATAATTTTTTATTTTCAGTTCTTTAAGAACTAATCTGTTTTGTTTTTTCTGTTTTTTCATCTTCAATTTGTTTTAAACTTGATCTGTTTTTTTCATATCTAAATTCACTTTTAAGAACTTAATTCAGTTTTAAAAATCCAATTTTAAATTGATTTTTAATTATTAATGAATTATTTCTTATTTGGTTTCTTCAATTCTAAAAGTGATTCTAGTTGCAAGTTAACTTTTTTTGGACAAAAGCAAATTCTAAAGAAAAAGTTATTATTTAAACTACTCGCTTTGCGACATGTGCAATTCTTAGGTTTTATCGCTCCACAAACCAAAAGACTTGAGGTTTATTATTCCGTATATTATTTTTAATGGAATCACCAATATTGATACTTTTGCATTGTCACAACTTTTATTTTAACTTAAAAAGTTTAGAGTCAAAAGTACTAAATAGCACAGGGCCTTTTAAAATGATTGGGCGGGCCTGCTTACAATCAGTGCACTGCAAGGGAATAAACCGACAGTAAAATAAGGAAAAAGAAGAATAAGGAACCCAAATAATTCATTGAAATTAAAAATTTACAAAATTAGAAAAAGACAACAAAAAAATAAAGTACGAGGTGAAGGGGGGTGAGAACACATTCACGGACATGTTTGTCATTGTAGTATGCCAATGCAAGGTTAGCATAGCGGTTGTGATCTCTCATGTCAGCACGAATTTCATCATCAGGGTCATCGTAGTCAACTTCCAAAGCTGGAAGCCCACAGCGATCATACTCTACTTGTGTATCATCAGGGAGTAGGTCAGGTGGCCTGAAACACGCAAAGAAATTATATACACTCACATTCCATAGAAAACAAGCCACCCCAAACAGCAATTCATGATTTAAAAAAAAGAAGTGGACATATACTCACTTCAAGGACACTTGATGCTGGGCCTAACAGCCTAAGCCTAAGGCAATATTTGACTTTTAGCAAAACTCAACCTGAAATTTCTAAGGGATATATCACCTGTGAATTCCTTGAAGCAAATCTCAAAGGCAGATACACACGATTCCACCAATGACAGAGAATACGTTAAAACACAGGATCAAACACACACACAGAATAAAGCAATAAACGACAAAAATTTGTTCACACAGTTCAGAGCAAATTCTCCTACGTCTGCGAGACCCACGTCCGTGTAATAGCCCTCCACTAGATCATAGTAAAGTTCATACAGATCAAGGACGTTACACTGTTTGCACTCGTCTCCTTGGCTTGTTACACCCTCTCTAGGTATCTTCCAAGGACGTGTTTGACAGCCTTATATCCCGGTCAACTCAGTACTCAACTCTTGGAAGTTCTTGCCGATACATAATCATGAATCGTATGCAGGTGTAGTAGAATCATATGATCGATATCATGATATGTATCACACACGCTAAGATTATGAATTGTGCGTGAACTGGTATATCTGTTTTTCTCACCCCCTGACCTCAAGGCCTCGATATGTGTTTTTATATATGCGCAACCTTGACCTTCTGCGAATATAGCTCTCCTATGCGCTAGACAGTCCAAGATCTGTAAAACACGGTGGTTCAGTGGGTTTCTTCAAAGTTCACAAAGTCTTGTAGTGCAGGATAGTCTTCGCCAATCCATCTCTTGAAAGCAACGACCTCTTGTAGAGTCCTCGTCCTGTAGTGTCCTTGGTACTCTAGGTTTGTAATGCATACAAGAAGGATGACCAACGCTAAAACACCTATAATGACACTGAACTACCCTAGTGTTTGTGTGTTGTCAAAATTACTGCCAACATTTAACAAGAGATTACACATATATCTAACAATCTCCCCCTTTGGCAATTTTTGACAAACACAAGCACAGACACTCAGCCGGTCAGAACCTCTTCTCCCCCTTTTGGAAAAAAATGCCAAAGGCAATGGAACTATTTTATTGAAAGTGGAGAGAGGAGTAACATTCTGAAACCGGGTGCAAGAGTGTGTACAACAAGCTAAAGAATAAACTAGATCATCCAACTTGCACATATACCTGATTAAGCAATGAGAACAACGTAACCGATGAAGAAAAAAACCGTGTGAAAGCATAAACACCAAAAGCTGAGTTGGATAATTGGGTTCAGCAAAAACAAACCAGTGATCAACCATTCTGAATCCAGACCAAAAATTAGGGACAGAACAATCCCTATATCACCACCAAATTCTTCAAAAACATGAATGTCTTTCCGAAATTTAAAACGAGACTTAAACATCAATAGTATCAAACTTGTGTAGCTTAGCTTCAAAGTCTGAATCTTCATCTGCAAGAGCCTCATCCCCTTCACTTTGCTCCCCCTGAGTGGCATCATCTTCTTCTGGTGCATCTTCCTGGGACTTCTCCCCCTGAGGCTGTGCAGTTGAACCTGTGTTTGTATCCAAAGAAGAGAGTATGATGGCCAGTTTCTTCTTCTTTACTTCAGCTTCCTTGATCAGTGCTTTGTGTCTATCAATTTGAAACTGGAGCAGTTAGATCTCTGTTCTGAGGAATGCAGTTTGAGAGAAGTCTGATCCAAGAAAAGCAGTAGCGGTCCTCTGACTTTCATCCTTCACCATATCATTTTGATGTCTTCCTTCAAAGTGCCTCATGTCCACCTGCAGCAGTGGGGGTGCAGGCTATTCTTCATCTGCAACATCAAGTCCCTGTGACTTAAGAAATTGGAAAATAAGCATAGGATAAGGCAGCCCATTTGAGTTGGATTTAGCTCTTTTAGATGCAAAGCTTAAGATCTGGTCATAGATGATTTTTCCCAGATTGAATGGGATGCCATGTTTAACTTTGTAAATGAGGGTGGCCATGCAAAGAGGGACTGTGTTCATGTGAGTGGTGGGAAGCCAGTGATAAGCAGCAACTCGGAAGAGAATTGCATAGGAACTCCTTAGGATTGATGATGGGACTTTGGACTTGGAGGACTGAGATATGCGCTCACCATTTGTAAGATCTGTCCAGACTTGGCGTTCATTCACATTTTTCTCTGAGGAGACTGATTTTGTGTGCAAAACTTATTGATTTTAGCTGGGGATAGTTCATAAGTCTTGCCTCTCACAAATACCTTATGGAAGGAGGGGTCGGAGAATGTGTTGCAGCTCTCATTCAAATTACAATAAAACTCCTGTATTATTCTCCTCACATATGAACCATGTATGGTGACAGATTTGAGCAGGTGAGATTGTTTCAACACAGGAATTAGATTGGTCTTAGTTTCAAAATCATCATCTATGCTCCTTTGGGGCAGAATGGATTTCTTAGCAATTTCAGACATAAATGAACTTGCAATTGATGAGATAAAGACTTGATTAGGAAACTTCCCTGGTTTCAACGATTTCTCAGCATCTGAATCTTTCTTCTTGCTTCTCTGACTTCTGGTGGTGAGCCTTTCTGTGGCGGGTGACCTCTTCTGCCTTTTTGTACATTCTTCTTGTTCATCTTTTGCTTTCTCTTTTCTCTTTATCTTCTTTGAAACTTTGCATCACTGGAATTCTTCAACACTTTCTGCCTCTTGATCTTCCTTTGCCTTTTGACGAAGGGACCATCTGGACCCAGAAATCTTTACCCTTTTCTTCTTGGAGACCGGAGTTGTGATTTATGAGTCTTCAAAAGGAACGTCTGAACAAGCAATGAGAGGTTCCTCTTCAACTAGATCTAGAATTTTCTTCCCTTGCTTCAGATCTTCCTCTTCTTTCCTTTGCATGTCGTTTTTCGGTTGTGCAGGCGTATGCTCCAGATAAAGAGTATCTGGAATTTCAGACAAGGGGTGTAGCAGAACATCATCTTCAACATATTTCCTTCCTTCAGTACCTTCAGATCTTTCATCTGTGCGCTGTTCCTTTGAATTTCCCAGAGCATGATTTGGGAAAATTTCTTCTCCGTCACCGCTTGTCTTTGATTTCTGATTTTCTTCAGAATGTTTCGCATTCTCCATGGCTAGCAGACGAGGCCAGCTATGCTTTGCCCACAGCTCCTTCTTGAGACATGAATTTTTGGTGCGCTGTCTATGGAGGGCAATCTTGGTTCTCACCATTTTTCTTCTTTGGATGCGATAGAAAGTTCGGTGCTCAACTTGATTTAGGGTTCCTTGGTAGGCTATTAGTCTTGATGAGGAGGGGAAAGTATATCTAGATATGTGTTTCTCTGCAGGTGACGCTTCGGTGGCCGTGTACCTCTCCCCTTTTTAAACATTTAATGATTACGATTTGTAGTACCTCCCCACTCCTTTTTCTTCTTCAGAAGTTATTGATATATTGAGCACATTAGCTGACACTTTGTGCTCAATGCCATTTTGCATGTCTTATTGGAATGGTGCACACAGACCCAAACTGGATCTGAGAGTTTCAAATCTTTCTCCATCTAGAGCTTTAGTAAATATATCTGCCAACTGGTGCTCGGTGGGAATGTATTCAAGAGTGACGATTTTTCCTTCAACTAACTCTCGTATGAAGTGATGTTTGATGTCGATGTGTTTGGTGCGAGAGTGTAGCACAGGATTTTTTGAGATATTGATGGCACTTGTGTTGTCACAATAAAGGGGAATAGTATCATGCTTAATTCCATAATCAATTAACATTGATTTCATCCACATAAGTTGTGCACAACAGCTACCTGCGGCAATGTATTCAGCTTCTGCTGTGGAGAGTGAGACAGAATTTTACTTTTTGCTAAACCACACAACCAGGTTTCCGGCCAGATAAAAACATCCTCCTGAAGTGCTTTTGCGATCATCAATGTTGCCTGCCCAGTCTGCATCACTGTATGCCAGAAGATGTGCTGGAGCACCTTTAGAGTACCATATCCCCATGTTGTGTGTACCTTTGACATACTTCAGTATTCTCTTCACAGCCTTTAGATGTGATTCTTTAGGTTTAGCTTGATACCTTGCACACAACCCCACACTGTAGCATATGTCTGGTCTGCTTGCAGTGAGGTATAAGAGACTCCCAATGATCCCTCTGTAATAGGTAGCATCAATGTCTTTTCCATCATCGTCTCTACTGATCTTCTCATGTGTTGGACAAGGTGTTCTAGCATTTTTTCAGTTATTCATTTCAAACTTTTTCAGCATGTTCTGTGCATATTTAGTTTGTTAAATGAATATACCCTCATTTGTTTGTTTGACTTGTAACCCCAGAAAGTAAGTCAGTTCTCCAATCATGCTCATCTCGAATTCCTTTTCCATAACTTTTACAAAGTCTTCAACATGCGCATGAGACGTTGATCCGAAAATGATATCATCAACATATATCTCTGCTACAAGGATATCATTTTTGTACCTGATGTAAAACATTGTGTTGTCAGCTCCACCTCTAGCGTAACCTTGTTCAACCAAATATGATGTTAATCTATCATACCAGGCTCTTGGAGCCTGTTTTAGGCCATAGAGTGCCTTCCGCAGTTTGTACACATGTGTTGGATGCAATGTGTCTTCAAATCCCTTTGGCTGTGACACATAAACCTCCTCTTTGAGATATCCATTCAAGAAGGCCGTCTTTACATCCATCTGATATAACTTCATATTCCATGCACAAGCCATACTGATAAGTATTCGAATAGACTCCAATCTGGCTACAGGTGCAAAAGTCTCTTCAAAGTCAACTCCTTCCACTTGAGTATAGCCTTGTGCCACTAGTCTGGCCTTGTTGCGAATTACTTTACCATATTCATCAGTCTTGTTTCGGTAAATCCATTTTGTACCAATAATGTTTACGCCCTCAGGTTTTGGAACCAATTTTCATACCTGATTTCGTTCAAACTGCCCCAGCTCCTCTTGCATGGCATTTATCCAGGCTTCATCTGTTAAGGCTTCCTTCACATTTTTTGGTTCGATTGAAGAAGTATAGAATGCATTGATAATTTCAACATAACCGATCTTCTTTTTCCGAGTGCGCATGCCTTCTTGTGAATCTCCAATAATATTTTCAATGGGATGATTTTTCTGGATATGTGTGGGCACTCTAAGTTCTTCAGGTGGACTTGTTTGATGCTCTTTGTTTCTTTGCTCCTCTGAATCTGATTGTGCAGTGATGTCTTGCACCTGTTGCTCAGTAAGTGTTTCATCATCTTTTCTGTCATTCAGATTTTTAGATATTTCCATGTCATCTACAATGACATTTATTGACTCCATTATTGTTCTGGTGCGTTTGTTGTATACTCTGAATGCCTTACTGTTTGGTGAGTATCCTACGAATATAGCCTCATCACTCTTGGCATCAAACTTACTCCTGTGCTCTCGATCTCGAAGTACGTAGCATTTTGCTCCAAAGATGTGAAAATGTGCAACATTTGGAGTCCTTCCTTTCCATAGTTCATATGGCGTTGCTTGTGTTCCTCTCCTTATATAGACACGATTTATTGTGTAGCAGGCTGTGTGAACAGCTTCAGCCCATAGACTTTCAGGTAATTGTTGCGTGTGAAGCATTGTTCTGGCCATCTCTTGAACGTGTCTATTTTTCCTTTCTGCCACTCCATTTTGTTGTGGAGTTTTTGGCGCTGAAAACTCATGAGTGATGCCTTGACTGTCACAGTATTGACTGAAGGGTTGGCTGTCAAACTCTCCTCCGTGATCACTTCTAACTCGTATCACCCGCTTTATTTTCGATTGCTTTTCATTCTGTATTTTGTTACAGAGTGAGATAAAAGCCTCTACTGCATCATCCTTATGTTTCAAAAAACTCACCCAAGTGTATCTTGTAAGATCATCAACAACCATGAGTACGAATCTCTTACCTCCCATGCTCTCGGTTTTCATAGGGCCAAACAGATCTATGTGCAACAACTCCAGTGGATATTTTGTTGATTGAAAGATCTTAACGGGGTGAGTTTTCCTTATCTGTTTCCCCTTTTGACAAGGTCCGTAGATTTCTGCCTCCGTTCTGTTGATCTTTGGTAATCCCTTGACTGCTCCTGAATTTGATAGTGTGACCAGGTCTTTGTAGTTGAGATGCCCGAGACGGTAGTGCCAGAGCTTTGAATCTTTTTCACTTGCAGAGAAGCACAGTACGTTTGGTGTTACATTATAACAGTTATCTGCAGTTCTATCACCTTCAAGCACAACCTGCTTGCTCTTATCTCTCACTTTTCATTAATGCTGTGTGAAAAATACTTCGAGTCCTTGATCACATATCTGACTGATGCTAAGCAGATTCACCTGTAATCCTTGAACTAGCCACACATTTTTAATAGGTGGCAGTCCTGTTACGTTGAGCGTGCCACTGCCTACTATTTTACCCTGTGCTCCACCACCGCATCTAACACTTCCTTGTTCATTGGGTTTTAGATTCATGAGATTTTATTTGTCACCTGTCATATGATGTGAGCAACCACTGTCAAGAAGCCATTGATCTGGAGTCACCCTGTAACATGTATTTGCGACCATTGCATATTGTTTGGGTATCCAAATCTGTTTGAGTTTCTTCTCTGAAGTGACCTGCTTACTCCATTTCTTGATGCACTGACGTTTTACATGTCCCCATTCTCTGCATCTGTAACATCTGTAGGAGGTGTGGTGATTGTTACGAGTGCTATTCAGAAGACTTCTCTTGACTTGATATTCAGGAGGTGCTTCCTCAAGTTCTTTGACAAACTTGATCTCTTGAGATTTTGAGGTGCTTCTTATATTAGTGAATCCGATACATGTCATGTCTCCTGGAGGCTTTGCCATAAGTGAATGATGATCTAGCACATCGGCCCCTGCTACCTTAATCCATTTCTGATAGGGCTTTAGTTGATCGATTTCATAGCGCAAGTTTGAGTTTTCTCCTTCCAGTTTGTTAATCTTGTGCTTTGATTCTTCAATATTCTGCTTAAGTGCATCCATCTCAGAGAGTAATCTGTTTTTGTCTACCACATTTCGTTTGTTTACCATCAGCAGTTCTGCCCACATCTCTTGTAAATCTTCAAGTTGTTCGGCAAGACTGTCTTCCAAATCTGAGTTTTCACAGGCAATGAAGGCACAATTGTACTCACCATGATCACTATGTTCATCTATTTCTTCATCACTCCAGGTCGCTGTAAATGCCTGTCTCTTTTTCTTCAAATTGTTTGCGCATTCCGATTGAATGTGTCCATATCCACCACATTCAAAGCATTGTGGTCTCTTTTTCTTCACATAAGTAACACTGTCTGGGTATTTCACTTCTCTGGGCCTGATGTCTATCTGAATAGGTCCCTTTGATGTTCCTTCCATTCGTTGATTTCCTTTCTTCTGCATCCATTGTTTTTTGAACTGCCGTGTGAAGAGTGATAGCTGTTCCTGAAAGTCTTCATCCAGTGACAAATCATGTTCACTGTCATCTTCTGCCTCAGTGCTAGAGAATGCAATTTGTTTGTCTGGCTTCCATCGCTTACTGTCTTCCATCATGTCAAGCTCAATTGACTCCAGTATTCCCATAAGTGCATCAAGAGTCATGGCTTTGATGTTGTGAGACCTTCTGATCGCCTTGACGTCCATGTCATATTCTTTTGGAAATGATCGTAATACCTTGAGTACTAGTTTGTTTTCAGGGATGGGTTCATTTAGACGTGCAACCTGATGTGCAATGTCTCTCACTCTACCATGAAATTCTGTAATTTTCTCTTTATCATCCATGCGCAGATTCTCGTATTGTGTCATGAGAATTTGATACTTGGCTGTTTTTACTTCCTCATCTCCTTCATGAGTAACCTCGAGAATATCCCAAGCTTCTTTGGCATTGTCACAGTTTGAGATGAGTTTGTAGTGGGTAGAGTCAACTGCTCCGAAAATTGCATTCACGGCTTTGTCATTGAATTCTGCTGCAATCGCTTCTGTTTTGCTGTATTCTTCAAATGGCTTAATAGTTGATGAGGTCAGATCTTCTGAGTATTTTCGTGGCTCCATCCAACCTGTCTCCACGCTCCTCTAGACACCACCTCCAAGTGATTTAAGGAAAGCCCTCATTCTGCCTTTCCAAAAATTGTAATTATGTCCACGTAGCAGTGGTGGCCTTTGAACATTTGCACCCTCTTCCATGTCACCCATGATGTGATCAACAGCTAGTGACTTAAGCTGTTCCGGCTTTGATACTAATTGAAATTTCTAAGGGATATTTCACCTGTAAATTCCTTGAAGCAAATCTCACAGGCAGATACACACGATTCCACCAATGACAGAGAATACGTTAAAACACAAGATCAAACACACACACAGAATAAAGCAATAAACGACACAAATTTGTTCACGCAGTTCGGAGCAAATTCTCCTACGTCTGCGAGGCCCTCGTCCGTGTAATAGCCCTCCACTAGATCATAGTAAAGTTCATACAGATCAACAACAATATGTCTGATAAAGTTTTGACTGAATAAGCTTACTATAGACCTCGAGTGACCAACTCTGTTTGCACTCGCCTCCTTGGCTTGTTACATCCTCTCTAGGTATCTTCCAAGGACGTGTTTGACAGCCTTATATCCAGGTCAACTCAGTACTCAACTCCTGGAAGTTCTTGCCGATACATAATCATGAATCGTATGCAGGTGTACTAGAATCATATGATCGATATCATGATATGTATCACACACGCTAAGATTATGAATTGTGCGTGAACTGGTATATCTGTTTTTCTCACCCCCTGACCTCAAGGCCTCGATATGTGTTTTTATATATGCGCAACCCTGACCTTCTACGAATATACCTCTCCTATGCGCTAGACAGTCCAAGATCCGTAAAACACGGTGGTTCAGTGGGTTTCTTCAAAGTTCACAAAGTCTTGTAATGCAGGGTAGTCTTCGCCAATCCATCTCTTGAAAGCAACGACCTCTTGTAGAATCCTCGTCTTGTAGTGTCCTTGGTACTCTAGGTTTGTAATGCATACAAGAAGGATGACCAACGCTACAACACCTATAATGACACTGAACTACCCTAGTGTTTGTGTGTTGTCAAAAATACTGCCAACATTTAACAAGAGATTACACATATATTTAACACAACCATCACACTAAATGTATGTGGATCACAAGGATTTTCTACCCTAGCAAAAATACTAGTAACAATAATAACCTCCAATTTTTGAAAAATCTACTAACTTTAAACTTTATAAAGAGGAAACTGTAACTGATGAATAATATGGAGTATTAGCAGGAGATTGTAACAACTGATATAAGGAAAATGTAAAATTTGACCCAGGAGAAATCAATAATCCACATGGAGATGTGTAAAATTGGAATGATTAACTTCATCTTCTGATTTCTTAAAATACTACCAAAATTCTCATGAACACATAAATAACATCGGAATTTGGAGTGACAGAGGAGATGAGAAACAAGGGAGCCCAAATGAACACATACACAATCCACCATAAACACCATTAGAAACCCAACAGTAACGCATATGCAAAAGCATTGAAATTTCTTAAAGCATTAATAACTACAGAGCTTCTGAATTGGAAGAACAAAAATCAAATTAGTACAGATTTACTCCAGGGCAGACGACTTGCAAAGGTTCTGGCATCTCAACAAACGCGCCAATCGAGTTGCCAAAATGCTGACAGAAGCCCGCCAAATGTCCTAAAAAAAGGTTCTAAAACAAAACAAAGAGTGATAACAATATGGCATTATCACAGAGAGTTTTTTCTTTGTTTAATAATCTTTAATTCGGCTTAGATTAATAGTTAACCTACTACTTAAGGGCTCCCACGATCCGATTACAGCTTCAATCTTTCAGACGCGTAAAAATTGCTTCGGGGGAAGGCCTTCGTGCTGATATATACCAGGAAAATTTGCACGGAATAAAACTAAAACATTAGTCATTTCTCAATGTAAGACTTAAGCATTTTTATTCTCTAAATAAGATTTAATAATGTCTAGTGGGAGGATTAATGTCCAATGATGGTGGATATTTACCTGAATAATGACTAATGGATAATGACCAATAATCCCACAATGGGAAATAAAAATATAAGGTCCTATTTTGAGAAAGTCATTGTGTTTTAGTCTTATTTAGGTAAAAATTTCTTTTCCAATTTGACTTAGTATGCAGATTAAAAAAAGTTAAACAAGGTAAAGATTTTCCATGTATTGAATTGTTCTTAATGTGATGAAAGTTATAGAATAAGGTAAATAGTGTAAATAAAAAATAGATGTATAATGACGCATACACTAAAAGTGTGTTGCAAAAATAGGAAACAGGAAAAAAAAGTGAACAATCCAAAAAAGAATGTGAGAAAGAAAGTAATAAACAAAAGATGTACGTCCATCCCATTTTTCTTCTTTTACTAAGCAGCGTAGGAATTTCTTTTGCTTAATTCCTTTCGTTTGCCACCATTAAAACCTTACCTTTTGTTGGATACGAAAATTCATAACGAAACACTTTATATTGGGTTGCGAAATAAAATATGTAGAGTAATTTTTAAATATAATATAGAGTAATTTTTCAACATTTTTCATTTCTTCTAATTTTTTCATCTTGGATGGTTAGGAATTTGAAGAAATTCATCTTAGATGGTTAGGAACTTAACTAAGTATCTATGAGATCTTGAGTTCAAACCCTCATGGTGTATGCTTTTGGAAATAAAATCGCAAAAATTTGCAAGAAAAAAAATGGTCGGACCGGCTCGACCGGCCGGTTGTTTCGGTTCGGACCGGTTCGAAGCAAATCACGGTCCAGAGAGCTGTACCGGACTGGTTGGATCATCAATTTGTAGATTTACTGTCCGAATCAGGCAGTCCAGTCCGATTTTTAAAACTATGTTTTTATCTCTTAATTTTGTAAAATATTTATTAGAAAATAAAAATTATTATCTTCTTTATTACTCTATATTGGGAGGTCAAACAATTTTTTCTTTCATCACTTCATTTTGTTAATTACGTTTTACTGTTTTCATCTCACACAGTCACAAATTCCTCGTTTTGAATTTAAAGAAAATTAAGGATAGGGTTCCATAAATAATACCTCATGCCCAAAACAAAAAGTAGAGGTTGGGAAAACTAGGGGAAAAAGGGGGTTTCCATGTGGGTTCGGTAGAATTTAGGGTAAAGGTAGAATTATCTTCTTTTAGGGGAATGTGAAGGATTTATTTTGTGTGTTAAATCAATGGAGTACTGGGTCTCATGATGGGTTTTCTGGAATCAAACGCTGGCATTTCTTCTACTCTAATGTATGCACTAGAGTAGGACTAAAACGGACGCGGATAATATCAATTTAAAACGAATGCAACTTTTTTCAATTTAAACGGATAGAGATGCGGGCTGTAGTCGGATTTTCGGTTATCCAGTGAAAGCCCTGCAAATGGTGTACCGAAAAAGAACGCTCACAAATGGGGCATAATATCAGAATATATCAATTCAAAAGTATTCTATTGTGCTCGTCAAACAAGTGTATATTGTTATTGTTGTTTTTATTATTGCTCTGTATTGTTGTAATGAGGTCAAATTTTGGCCATCAAGTTTGAAGCAAAGTTGCATTGTTACTGGTTCCTAACCCTGATTATTCGGCCAACTGTATGGTAGTATAGTAGTATATCCAACACCTTACACTTTTGGTCCTTAACCAGTCAGTATATGATCTTAGATAGGAATATTTAAAGAGATAAAATTAAGATAGTTGGGTATGTAGTATAGTGGTAGTTTTCGTGTTTAATGATATGTGCTTCATATGCTTAGTGATTTTGTTTTTTTCTATCTTTAGCCTGCTTTATGCTTCTTTCTACTAATTATGTGCTTCTTGTGTTACTTGAGTTGTGTCGATCTCTTTGAAACAACCTCTCTACGTTCAAATAGGCGTAAGGTCACTGTACACACACCTTCCCATTGTTCTATACGGCTGGGAGAAACAAAGCCTTTGCTTGGTCATTTCTTCTAAAAAATGTTCACACACAACTGAGATTAAAGTTTGCTTCAAAAAACAACACAACTTTGAGGCCTCCATTTCAAGAAGAGCCGAAGAGGGATATTGACAAACCCAAACCACAATACTCTAATGATCTTATCTGGTAAGTGAACTAAAATTATATTGAATTAAAGTTCGTTACATTGAAGCCCCGTTTGGTACACGGAATTCAAACTATGGAATTGGAATTGAGGGCTTCAATTCCAATTCTGGTGTTTGGTAACACAAAAATTATGTGGATTTGGAATTGATAGTGCAAAAAATGAATTGGAATTGGCAGAATTCAATTCTATGGAATTGAATCCCATGGAATTTCAATTCCAATTCAATTCCAATTCTATCAATTCCATATACCAAACGGACTCTGATTGTATATGTTTGAAGCTAAGCCACCTTTAAGAATCACTAGAATCTTGTCCAATATGGTACATACTAATAGAGAAATTGTGCCACTAAACATTTCTAGTTTTTGTACTAGAGAAAGTTTGTGGAATTGATAATATAAGCTATCAATAGGTTCACCACAATAGTAATTAAAATTTAAGGGGGGCTGAGGTGGGGTGCAGGAGAGTTAGTTAGGTAATGAAGGAGCTTCACACAAAAAAAAATTAATCATTGAATAATAATGAAGGAGCTTGAAAAGAGCACGAACCTATACATCTATTTGTTTCAAAATGACTTTGTTGACATGTCGTTCACACGGTGGAAAATACCCCAACGGTGCATGTCAATTAATATCATTTGTAATTTTTTATACGTAAAATTTATTCTTTGGAATGACACTCTGTATGTCATTAGGAATTTTTCGACGAGATTATCTAACTAGACTAATTAATATTGAATCTCAACATTTGACTGTATTTTTCACTTGTCTTTTTTAAGCAAAACATTTGTCTTTATTTTTTGCTTTAATCATTTTAAAATACTCCGTAATAATTAGACCGAAAATCTATTTTTTTTCAAACACAATACTATTTTAAAGTTTGGCAAAATTCTTTATGAATAGTTCATTAGTTTGGGTAGCTCAAATGTGTCACAAAACTTTCTCTTTTAATTTAGGATAAACTAAACGATGCACTAAAAAAGCATTATTGAACCAAACGGTAACAAAAAAAAATTGTCAAATGTTTTCTTTTTAACCAAATGGCCAAGAATTGAACCAAGCAGTCACTACTTGGGAGGCACTTTTTTTTTTGCCAAATGGTTTTTCTGTCTTGAAATTTATTAAGTATGTAAATAAAATAAATATTTTGATAAAAAAAAATGAGAGTCCATAGGTATGAAATTAAAAAAAATAAAAAGAAAAAATAAAGAAATGATAAGATTGGAGTGAAGAAAATTGAAGGAGAAAACAATGTGACATTAAAAGGGAACGATATGTAGGAGAATAGTGGAAGAATGACTTGTAATAAGTTTTAATTGGTTCCGATTTGATTTAAATAAGTTTAAAACTTGTCTGGTTTAATTACATCTGATTATAATTTTACTTAACGCTATTTTTGTTGGAATTATTTAAGGAAGAACACTGCGAAGCAGTGTTAAACGAAAAACTCGATAGTATAACGAATCGCGTACGAAACGCTTTCAGATCAAAGTTATTTCGGGATATACGAAATACTTCAATCGGATAAGACGTTAATTAAAAACAAGCACTCGAAAATCTGTCACTCAACCCATACCACGAGACTCTATTTTATAGAGTCGAAAAACCTCATGATCGGACATGAACGTTCGCGTAGACGTACGTGTACGTTCGCACGAGGAAGAAGAAAGGCGCGAGTCTGTATAAAAAAAATACAAAGATTTTTTTGGGCATTCCAAAAAATTTACTCTTTTCTTTTTAAGAAAATTTTGAAGCTTATAATCTTTCTCTCGCAATTGCATTACTTTTAATCATACATTATGCGATCAACAAGATGAAAACTAATAATCATGCCTATCATATGTACAAATTTGGTAGGATTTTTTCATAGTCATGTAGAAATGTCATTGGTTAAAATCTTTTGAGAACATAATTGTCCCAAAATTGATCCTTAAACAAGTTTAGATGCTTCTAAAATTTTGTAAATAGTCAAGGTTAATTTTTTGTCGGTGCATTGCATAGGTACTATTCTATGAAAGTTTAAAGTATACCGTAGTAAATCGCACAAGGGGGGGTTGGTATATACGGAGTAGTAGCTTAGCCCTTGCTTTATTCCACGGATAACTAAGTGCTTTATTATATTCCACGGATAACTAAGAATTTGACTTGACTTATACGAATAGAGGATTTAGAGCTAATCATGAACTATATATCCTCCTACGGCGACATTGGGTCTATCTGGAGCTGCAGTTTCTTGTATGGGCAGTGCCTCGATCGGCGATTTGCGAGANGGAGGCCGGTGATATTGGCTGGCATTCATATCGTGTATGAGAAAAAAACAAAAAAAAAAAGGAGATAGGAAAATACTCCGTAATTTTTTTGTTTGGTTAGAGAAAAAAAAGAGATCCAAAAAAAATGAGAAGACAAATATTATTATGAGGAGGGAAAATCAAATTTCTACTTTTTGGTTAGGGGTAATAAGAGAAATCTATTTTTTTGTCTTTTCCTTCCAAATTTCTTGAACCAAACACAGTGTAAGGAAAAAGAAAATGGTGTGTGCACATAGGTAGCTCAACTGGTCCAAGGACGGAATGTGAAGCTCATTGATCCTGGATTGAATCACGACAGCGGCAGTGTGGAAATTCTATTCTTTGTAATAGCTTCTGGTGCGCACCGAGTACGAGCCGACCACTCTAAGGACCAGATCGAGATTATACCATAATAATATACCAATGTATACCAAAGCAAATATTTGTGTGTGCCTGTTTTTACCTTGGGATACATGTGGTGTACCTTAGTGAAGTTTTCATAGCACTCCCCTTTTTTTAACAGTACCCAGTAGGGGTGGGTTCGATTTTTTCCTAAAACCAAGACAGAACGGAAGTTAATTTGGGGGTTCAATTTTTCAAAAAAAGTGAACGATCGATTTTTGGTTCGATACTTTGTGGTTCAATCCTCGATTTTTTTGTTATTCGCTTTTAAAAAAACATTTTTTTAAAGTATATCATATATCACATTAGAAAAACTGCAAAAAACTACAAACGCTTGCAAAAATTTTCGCTGACATTTCGAGTTGAGGAGCATGCTTCTGAGGTTAACGAGTGGCTAAGTGGCTTCATCAACCCTAAGATTCAGGAATTAATTCTCTGCCTCGATGGAATGAATGAATCTGAGAAACCATTGACCTTCCCTGACCACCTGTTTACCTGTTCGACATTGACAACATTTGGATTAAGGCTGCGGAATGTTTTCAAGCTTCCTTCTTCCATTTATTTCAAAAGCCTCAAGACTTTATGCTTAGTAGATGTTACGTTAGCTGATAGATCTTCAACAGAACAACTTATCGCAGGTTGCCCGGCCCTGGGGCAGTTGACCTTGATGGATATCAACTGGGTGAATGTTGAAACTCTTTGTATTTCCTCTGATGTCCTTCAAAAATTGAAGATAATCGAGCCGGTAGAATATGACGTTCTGTCTCGTGAAGATGAAGATGAAGACGAAGACGATGATATGGGTGGTCAGGATGAGCAAAATTGTTGCAATATAGTGATCAGTGGGACTAATTTGAAGGTGTTTTCTTACACTGGCGCAGTCACAAGTGAAATTTCCTTTCACAGTCCAGCATCAGTGATGGATGCGTCTATTCATGTTCAACACCGTTATAGTGAATGCATGGACAACATTGACTGGGAACCAGCAGCCGGTAGTTATGTGGTTGATCTTCTAAAAGATCTACGGGATGTGGAAAAGCTCTCGGTTTCTTTTGTTTCCCTAATGGTTTGATATCAACATCAAAGAATCATCTCTCTCTTTTTTAACATTAACTTTGATGGCTATTCTGAATCTTTTTGATGGTTTGTTCCAGGCTCTCAGTCGTGCGTCATGGGAGCGTCTACGGTTGTTTTCCAATTTGGTCGAGCTTCACGTGGTTTCAACCATTATAAGTCTCACCTGTGAGGGGTTGATTGCTATAATTCAAAAGTCACCATGCCTCCAAGTTGTTTACTTTGACGTAATAACTTTCTCACCAGAATTTTCACTTCTTTTGACGCCAGAAAAATATATTTAAATGATCACTTTTAACACATTATTAACATTTCCTTGTATCGCTCGTTTTAACGACGCAGAAAGGGGTGTACATGCTTAAATATCGCGGCTATATCATGGATCCAGTACCTGTTCTGTCTAGAACACAGCTGAGGAGGATTGTGATAAAGCATTACTCTTGGGATATATACGAAGACGAGTTCAATGCAGTAAAAACTTTGCTGCAAGCATTACCGGTTCTGGAGACACTGCATATTAGTTGTTCAGGTGACGGTAACTCTCCAACTGGATCAGAGAGGTTAGAGAACTTGTACCAGAAGATCAAAAGTCTTCCCAGACGGTCGATAGATTGTGAGATAGTCTTGAAGTATATGAAGTGAAAAAATGGAACGGCGTTGGGCTTTGCTGCACTGCTTATACTTGTGTCGCTCATGAAGTCAATTTTGAAACAAAGTTGCTTGAGTTGATGGTTCTTGTTATGAATCTTTTGACTACATGTTTGACATTTTGCTAGTTTTCTCATTATTTAATGTTGATGATTTCAGTGTCATCGGGTTATTTTGCGTAATTGAATTAACTTAGAGACTACGTGAATTATACGGAGTAATAAATATTGAGGGTATCAGCCTAAGCAATGGAGCTGGGGTGTGAGAGGGTATCAGCCTAAGCAATGGAGCTGGGATCTGAGGGTATCAGCCCCCGGTATTGGCCTCAAAGGGTAGAGCCCCTGGCTCGGGATTTTTTTCAAAAAAAAAAGGCCAAGTGTTGCCTTATGGAGATTCATTAGGTTTCTATGATATTCGGAAAAGGGCTGAAGAATTCAAATTTTATAATACGTATTCGAATAAATGACTTCAAGTGATTTTCACAAAAAGGCTTACTCTTAAGTGTTTGAATGCTTTCATCTAGTATTTGAATATTACACGAAAAGTTGATTTGGTTCATTCCAATGGATATGTCCGTTTTCAAATACTAACTTTGAGTACTCAGATACTAGATCAATAATTAACTTGGTTTGTCGCAAGAGTCGTGTCTAGCTAGTCGGAATTTTTAAAAAAGTGTAGAGGCGATATGTTGTGTTTCATATATAGAATACTACGGGGTATTATATATTCGTTTCAAATACTTTACGTCTTATTTGATTGAAGTCTTTTGGAATACTATCGAAAGCGTATCCCATTGTTTTCACATACTACAAATCCTTTAAAAACGGCAAAAACGTTCTTACAATTAATGACTACTCCATTAAAATTTCCTACATTTAATGACTTCTCACAATGTATGAACCACATTCAACTTTAATTTGTGCTGAGGGTATAAAGGAGAATTCAATAACAAAATATTTCCTAACTTTTTTAGTTGTTGTAAAAAGGAAAAGAAAAGGTGGAATCTTTTCTCGGGAAGAAGTAATAATCTTATTTTTACATTCAAATCAAATAGACGACTGTATAAAATTTCTCATTTGCACTAGAAATAAATTGAGTAATTCCATAATTGATCTTTTATAACATGAGGTTTCTCTCTTTAGTCATCTATTATCAAATATTACCAGGTGCTCTTTCTTTTATGTATATCTTAGTCCTTTTTTGATCTTATGTCATGTTGGTGTTAATTTGAGGGCTAAAACTGTAATTATAGAATGTTCATATATATTTCTTGTCATACACTATACTAGATGTCGCTCCTAATGCATCGCTTGTGAATTCCAGTCACTTTTCACTACAACCATAGTATAGAGATGTGATCTTTCATCAGGATCCTAGTCCACGTTTATAGTCATTATTATTGTGTTGTCCGTCTAACCAATATCAGAATACATCACTGGACATAAAATTGATGTCAAATTACATTTTTAGTTTTCAAATTAACACTAACATGACAGAAGATCAAAAAAATTGTAAAAGAGTACCCATAAAAGAAAGACCACGAGGATAATATTTGATAATAGAGAACTAAATATGGAAGATCTGTTGTTATAAAGTACCAATTATGAAATTTACTCAAATAAATTCAATTTGACCGCACTTATCAATATTTAGAGATAGCAATTTTTATCCGACATGTTGGATAATCAAATCACCCAACCTGATCTATTGAATGAAAACTCGAAAAGAAAAAGATGATGGATAGATAATGAGTTGATTGATGATGGATTGGATCCGATGCAGGTAAAAAAAATTCACCCAAACCTTTGAAAAATGATTAAAATAAAAAAATACTAGTTCGTAACTTAGAAGATTATTTTTTGTGGGAATTTATCATAAATATCATTGATCTCGTATTTGCCTTTGATTTTTTGGGGTATGTGCTTCAAAAATCTTTGTTTCACATAAAATTGATGGTTAACAAACTATTATTAATATCATCAATTTTTAGTCGCGGATGATGGGTGATATACTATGTAACAGAAGATGAATGAATCTGGTGGCAGATACAAAGGTAATGCATGAATGAGGGTGAAGGAACCCGACCAAAACACAACTCGCTTTCTTCCCTATCTATGTTTGGTTTGATAGTGTAATCCCCTTTCGAGATGCATTAGCTGGAATGGAAGAAGAATCTCTCAGAAAGTTTTTTTTTTTTTTTTTGAGCAATGGGCCCGGTCTGAATCCAATCAATTTCCATCCATAATTCGTTACAAACATTATCAATTATTGCATTCATTCATCATATGCATGTAGAATGGATACAAAGCAGATGAAATTAATAATAATACGGAGTATTCTTTCTGTTTGACAATAACAATACAACAAATTATCCATTATCAATTGCAAGCTCAAGTATGCGTGTATTCATTGAGTCAGAAATACCCTTCCAGGAGAACACTATTGCCAGAGACCACTGATGTCAGATTCTTCACTTTAAGACTCTGCCCCAAGCTCTTAAACCTGTGTGAACCTCCCCAGACTGGCAACACTTCCACCACAACCTTCTGGAACAATTTTTGCTCAAATCCCTCTTGCAAAATCCAGTCGAATTCGCTAGCGTTGCACCTCACATCCACCACGACACTAGATATCCCCCGACGTTCACACTGTTCAAGGATAGATGTGAAACTCATTGCATCCAAAGCGACCAAGTCGGCTGCTCTTTGGTCTGAATCATGTACCCCCACTTTCTCTGTGAAGACGATCACTTTCTGAGTCGCTTCTGCACTGGAGGGGAGGGGGTTGTTTGGTAGATCTGGAGAGGCAGCTAATAAAATGTGAAGTGGTTGGTTGGCTTGAGGCTCTTTCGACGGAAGAACTAAATGGGGGTTCTCTCCTAACAAGGTGGAGAGATGTATGACTGCGTCGTTTTCTTGCAACAGTTTCGAGTAGTAACCACCTGACTCTGCGACACCCTCTCCTAGCTCTCCCAAAAGATGGCCATCAAGTGAGATGGAGTACCTGCAGCAGACGATCAAAGATAAATGACAATTTCCATTACTAATAATACATGGAGGGTTTTTTAAATGAAATAAATTTAGGGTTTTCAAAATATTTCTCTTGAGTTTTTTTCTTTGTTATTCATCCATGGAATTCACTGTGTTTATATTTAGTCCCTCTTAAGCTTCGTTTTTTTAAAAGATGGACTTTGTTTGCACGACTTCAACCTGGACTTCCACTTAAATGTGTTTTTTTAACCTTGCAAATATGTCTTGGAAGTGTAGGCCCAGAGTATTGCCCACGAAAAAATGATCTATGTACATTAAATGAAAACATATTTTAGCTTTTTTAATAAAATTACATGGAAAATCTAGGTTAGAGCTATGTGAGTCACGTCACAACCTGGTAAATTATACGGACAAATGACAAATGGGAGTAACTTTTTAAGACCTAAAACAAATAATGCTATATTGGTAGAATTGCAGGGGCAAATGACATATTTAAGCCTAAAACCAGACGAAATCAAGGGTCAGCTGTGATTTACTACCTCAAAATAACAAACGGCTTCCCTGTCAACATTCGATGTGTGAAGGCTTCATTAAGCTTCTGGCAGAGTTGTTCCTCAACACCAACTGTCACTTCAATTCCCGCATCATGTAGTCTATCCAACCCTTTTGAGGCCACAATGGGATTTGGGTCTACCATTCCCACAACCACCTTCCTCACTTTGGCTTTGATCAGTGCATCCGTGCATGGTGGAGTCCTACCATAATGGTTACAAGGTTCTAAGCTCACATATGCAGTAGCATCTTGAGCCATACTTCCAGCATCTCTAAGTGCAAAAACCTAAGATTTTTATTTATTTTTAATATTTACCTGCACCAGAAATATAATAATAATAATAATAATAATAATAATAATAATTTCTAACCACTAACTCAGTCCTCATGATAAGCCTTCTTAGTTCAAGATCAAGATCATATCCTTACTCCCAACAAACTAAAAATCAAGTTTTTTTTAGATCCTAAGACATGTTTTCTGCATCATGCATCTTCTAAATGCAGTTTATGGTTAGATCTACATATCCATTCTAGAGAAAGCATAGATCAAGATCTAACACTCATTTTCAGCTCTCAAAACCATCAAATAATTCATGATCCCTCATTGTGTATATTTTTAAAAACAGCAAGAAGCTAAATAGCATTCTAGAAAGTATAATTTTTGGGGAGAGAAAGAGAGGGGAGGATATGGACAACACTCACCTCAGCATGAGGTTGACCGGCTCTTGGGTGATACCCTTCACCCACAATCCTCCCATCTTTAACAATAACACAACCAACCATAGGATTAGGACTTGTGAACCCAACTGCCTTCCTAGCAAGCTCTACACATCTCCTTATATAAAACCCGTCATCATTATCATTGTCCCTTTGTGAGCCTTCGCTCATTACATTCACCACCACACATCTACCGCCATTTCTTGAACTCTTTGGTGATCCAGATGCCATTTTGATTGAATTAAAATACCCATATTTCACTTCAGATGAACCAACCAAGCTTTTTGATTGAGTGCATGGAGCAACAAAATGAGCTGAAGGTGAAAACTTTGTCGAAATGGGACTGCACATTGATACTGTGAGTGCTTTCGCATACATTTCTAACAAAATAAAATGTGTTAGCATGAAGGTGCATCGTTTGGGCCAAATGTTATATGAAAGAAGAAGATTCAAGAAGAATATGGAACAGAAAAATTGTAAATATAAGAACTGCGCTCCAACTTAATGATGTACCTGAGGCCTTGAGTACAATTGTGCTATTAAGCTTGCAGGTTGTAGGAAAGGCACAACTTTTTTTGAGTGCTATTGACCACAGCTATAAGAGCCAGTTGAAAGGCATAATAGAAAGCACAAGGAACTGGTAGTACTCTCTGTCTATAATATTTTGCTTATAGCTCTATCTACATTGCCTCTGAAACTCATTTTGTCTCTGCGCTGCAAGTCATAGGTTATCTTATAATGGAGGAATACAATCTCAGCGTTAAGTAAACAAGTGGGTGGAAATTATAGGGAAAAAAAGTATCTAACACTTTTTTAAGAAAATGAAAGGTATAGACTGTTTCCAATTTCCACCAAAAATAGAACTCGTGGTCAACTACAATGACGAGTGCATTCTAGACTTCTAGTAGAGCATTTTTTCATAATGTGACTAGAAGTATTTCATAAT